AGAGAGGGAAGAGAGGGAGAGCGACTGTGTGCTGAAGACTTGGGGTGGGGGGAGATAGTGTAGGGGGCAGGCTTGCAGGATATACCCTTTGGTTGGTTGATGATGCATGGAAGGGATTGTAACCATGGCAATGACATGATGTACGATAGAATGAATGTAAAACTAATGCTCTCCCACGTAAACTATCATATAATTCACAATAAAACACTTAAAAAAAAACTATGTGTAAGTGAAAGAAACAGGGAACACTAGTGGCATAGTGCTTAAGTGCTCAGCTAACCAACAGATCAGCTGTTCAAATCCACCAGCCACTCCTCAGGACAAAGATGTGATATTCTGTATCCATAAAGATTAGCCTTGGGAAGCCTTTGAGGCAATTCTATTCTGGCCTCCAGAGTTGCCATGACTCAGAATTGATTCAACAGCAAGGTTGTTTTTGTTTGTTTGTTTGGGTTCATGAAGGCTTATGAACATGTTACTGTTAGGTACATAATAAAATGAAGACTATACCTACCTGCAGCATGTCATCAACCATAGTTAGAATGTACTGAACTGTCTGCTCTTTGGAGATATGAGTCATCAGATTTATAAACGTTTTAGCGCACTAGAAAAAGATAAAATTAATGTTAATTCTTTTCCATCTGAAACATTTCTATAGAATTTCAGTGCAACATTATTTCCCTTCCATAAATTAGTAATATTCTACTAAAAGATTTCAATTATTGAAAATGTATACCTTTTACACTGTACCTTTTTTTCTTTTTTAAACTTTTTTTGTGAATTGAGTGAATGTTTACAAACAAGATCATCAGTTTTACATCCAACAGAAAATACACTTCGTTTCATCTCAGTGATTGCAATCCCCTCCATGGAACAACTATCCCTTTTCCTTCCTATGGTTCCTATTTCCACTCCACCCACCTTCCCATCTCTTCTCAACTTTGTCCTTAGGTACATTTTGTCCTTTTGATTTTGAATGATTGACTTTTCCATCATTCATAGTGAGCATACTTGACTCACGTTGTTGCTCCCCTATACACCTATCTCCGGCTTGGCTAAACGTTGGGCCACAAGTTTGACTTCCTTTCCAAACCTGAAGGGTGGTCGAGGTCCACAGTCTCAGGTGACTTCGGTCTCTTTTTGACAAGTAAGCTTGGTCTTTTTTTTGTTTTGTTTTAATAATTTTTAGTTTTGTTCCACATATTCTGCAGCCCTTTATGGGACCTTCTAATGTGATCCCTTTCAGAGCAGTTGGTAGTGATAGCTTGGCACCACCTCGTTCTTCTGAGGTCATGGGTTCACATGTTCCAATTAGTCCTTTGGACTAACTGATTCCCACCATCTTAAATTCTCATCTTTCTTTTGCACATGGCAAGATCAATAGTTGCACCTTAAACAGCACCTCGTGGTTTTTAATATCCCAGATACTACTCACCAAAGTAGGATTCAGAACATTGTCTTTGTTGGATTATGTTATGCCAATTAATTATAGTGTCCCCTGAGATATGGTCCTGAACCCCCAGCCCCAGAAATGCATTGCCTTAAAATGTGTGAGAATACCTAAGAAGTTTTCTCATTTTGCTCGGTATAAGCTCAACTATATTCACAGCTGTGTTAGCAGGAAGGGTAAAAACTAATGTACCAATATCCTCTTTCAAACTCATGTGTCTGTGGGATATTTATATATGTCACTCTTCCTCCCACTCAGCATGGGTCTGCCCACAGAAAACTGTTGTGAAAATTGTTGTTCAAAGGTTTTATATTTATCAATATTTACTCCTATTCCCTTTATTGTTGTTAGGTGCCATCAAGTCAGTACCGACTCATAGTGACCTTATGCACAACAAAATGAAGCAATGCCCAGTCCTACCCAACCTCACAATAGTTGCTACGCTTGAGCCTGTTTGCTGCTGGCACTGTGCCAATCCATCTTATTAGTGGTCTTCCTCTTTTTCTCCAATCCTCTACTTTACCAAACATGGTATCCTTCTCTAGGAACTGGTCCCTCCTGACAAAATTTCCAAAGTATGCGAGTCGAAGTCTGGCCATTCTGGCTTCCAAGGAGCATTCAAGCTGTACTTCTTCCAACACAGTGTTGCAGTCCAGGGTACTTTTAATATTCTCTTCCAATACCATAACTCAAATTCATCAATTCTTTTATGGTCTTCCTTATTCACTATCCATCTTTTGCATGCATATGACGTTATTCAATATACCATGGCTTGGGTCAGGCACACCTTAGTCCTCAAACTGACATCTTTACTCTTGAACACTTTAAAGAGGTCTTGCGCAGCAGAATTGAGCATTGCAATACATTGTTTGATTTCTTGGCTGCTGTTTCTATGAGTGTTGATGGTGGATGCAAGCAAAATGAAGTCTTTAACAACTTCAGTCTTTTCTCTATCTTAATGTTAATTATTGGTCCAGTGGTTTTTGTTTTCTTTACATTGAGGTGCAACCCATACCGAAGGCTGTGGTCTTATCACTAAGTATTTTGTGTCTTCACCTGTATTCATCATTCTTCTGTCAACTTCCCTCTTCTTGTATATTGCCCTTCCCATTCTTGTATATTGCCCTCACCTTCACAAAAGTAAACATGTGTCTACCCATCTAGCCAGTGAACTATTCTCCCTTCTCTCCCACCTCTGGTTCTCCCCTCCCACCCAAAGAATGTTCTGTTTTCCTCTCTCTTTCGAACTCTTAGATATGTGTGGGATATATATATATGTGCCACATATATATATATATATGCCACTCTTCCTCCCATGCCTATTCAGTCTATGTCTCAATCCATGTATCTATACACAGAACACTGTTGTTCCAAAGTTGTGTGTATATATATATATATAT